TTGTTCTCGAGCTGTTTAAGAAAAACCAATTTTCCATTGTTTTTATCATCTACTGCCCCCTTCTTCGCCTTTCTCTCCCACACTCTTGGATTGTTTTGAAGCCATCCTAAGTGTGCTGTTACTTTGTAAATAGTTTAATATATGCATTTGTATTTATCTCTTGCTTTTCTATAGTTAAGGAACTAATTATCTTTAGAAAAATGTGGGCACTTGGGTAAAGGAGAAGATAAAAGAGCTAAGTTTGTAGTTTACCTAAAATATAACACTTCTGCTATGTTCACGGTGCTACATGTGGCGATCTACCATGTGATGGATAAATCCTGTGTGCCTACAAGATCTGCAGTATATAATTACAATACTTAATTCAGACATCAGTCTGTAAGGATAACAGATTTTTAAGTGTGGGATTAACACATGCACACTACTATATATAAGACAGATAATCACAGGGACCTACTGTATATTGAACTATATTCAGTATCTTGCAAAGGAAATAAAGCTGAGAAAGAATATATGTATATGCGTACACCTGAAACTCACACAACATTGTAAACCAACTATAGTTCAATTTTTAAAAAAAGACGTAATTCAGGGGAACCGCAAGCGCACTTTACCCAGGTTTGCCAGTGGTAACACCTGGTACAGAGCCATTCCCCGGTATCACAACAAAGAATATTGACTTTGATACAAAGTACAAGACGTCACCCTCTCCTTAAAACCCAGCAGGACCGATCTGTTCTCTGTGCCTGTAATTTTGTTATTTCAAGAATGCTGTACAGATGGAATCATACAATAGATGACGTTTTGGTTACATTGGCATTTTTCACTCAGCATAATTCTCTGGGGATTTATCCAGGGTGGAAAAAAAAAGAGAGAGAGAAAGAGAAATGTGTTGCGGAGAATAATAAGAAGTCTTCTGTTGAAACCTGTTGTGCAGAAAGGTAAAAGCAGGTAATTTCAAATTTGCTCATCGGAGACGGTGACCGAGGTGAAAATACTCTTTGGTCATAATTATGTTGATGAGGGGCCCAGTTGGCTGTGGATGAGCTGGAGTTTTATTTAAACTGTAATAGTCGAGGAGAGGTAAACTACAGAGCTTTGCTCCTGCATAGACATTCGTTTACAGAATTACTGAATATAAAATAAAGGCTAGCCTCTTTGTGGAATGTGCACACAATCAGATAAAGATGCCTGTAGGCAGCCCCTGGAGGCAGACCAGCCTGAAGCAAATTCCCAACCACCTTCTCCCTTGCCTTCCTCTGCTATGGAGACTGGAAATTTGAACGTTTAACTTTCCTAACCATTTTCTAGCTAGGGGTGGCCATGTGATGCCAATGCTGCTGCTACTGCTGCTAAGTCGCTTCAGTCGTGTCCAACTCTGTGCTACCCCATAGACGGAAGCCCACCAGGCTCCCCCATCCCTGGGGTTCTCCAAGCAAGAACACTGGAGTGGGTGTGATGCCGATGAGATAGGGCCAATTCTGCTGGATAAAAATACATATGTAAAGTGGAAAAAAACCTTTGACGCTTTTGGCTTCTTTCTACCCGACACCTGGATGTGACACCTGGAGGCAGAGCAGCCCTTTTGGCATCATGAGCCGATGTGAGGATTAAAGCCATCACACTGAGCTTGGCAAAGTATAAACACAAAGGGAGCTTGGGTCCCTGAGTGTATTACTGAACTGTTGTCCATCTTAGACTGCCTTCTTCAGGGCTTCTTCATGTGGGGTGAAAATAAGCCCCTATGTCACAAAGCCTGGTTAGTCAGGTTATTATTATTACTATTTTGTTGTTATTTGCAGCTGAATGCATTCTTCTTCGGTGATATTGGTGTATTTGTAGCTTTTTTGCCACCACAGAGCTCTCTCACACCTAAGGCCACTCTGGACCTGGGAAATTTTAAGCCAGGAAAGTCCTAGATATTACCTAGTCCAGCGGTTCTCAACCAGGGGGTGGAGGTCTCAGTATTTGTGGCGTGCCACTGGTATTTAGCAGCGAGAGGCCAGGGTACTAACAGCCTGGCTGGCGTGGGGCAGTCCCACAGCACAAATGTTCATGTTCAAAATGCCAGAAATGCCTGGTAAGAAACACTGATGTCATCCACTTTCCTGAGCAGTCCCAGTCAGGATGATTAGAGCCAGCCCAGGACTCTGGATCTGCACTGATCGGAGCAACCTGGAGGAAGTCCCGTTCCCACCCAAACCTCTCTTCAGCGTAGCCTGGCTTCCCTTTCACCTCTGTTACAGTGCCCTCCTTGATGCCTCAAGCCTCCAACATCACGGCTGCTTTCCAAGTCAGGGACTGATGGCCCTGCAAGCTAGGGAGCAAGGGGAGAAGCCTGAAGTGCCCACTGAAACCCCTAACGCTCTGCAGAACCACACTCTGAACAGTCTCTGAGGCAGCTGGGCCTGGACTTCCTTAGTTTCCGTGCATTTGTCTTCCAGGCAGTCCTACTATTAATAGTATCATGTGGTACTTTTGAAAAAAAAAATGCATCAAAGATGAATAGTAGCTGGAAGTGGAAGAGTCCTGGCTCTGACACCAGGTACGTCCTCTTCCAAGCATCCTCACAGGTAATAGGGGTGATGGCAGAGCAGCGATCTCCCAGGCCCTGGGTGGAGATGAAAGGGGGTGTGGCCTGGGAAAGCACTTTGGGAATGGTAAACGGCTTTATATTCTCATTAGAACAGTGATGCTTTTAATGGCTTTGGGCATTAATCATAGACAAGGTCATGTAACAGGAGCGTGGGTCGCAGTTTAAGTTTCTGTTGATTCTTGCTGTATTTTGATTTATTAGGTCCAAGGGAATTGATTTCAGGCCAGGGCAATGGGTTGAGTAAGTAATAAAGATAATAGGGACGCACTTAGGAAAGTCAGGGCTGGGCCCAGCTTACTCATATTTTTTTCCAGCACAGAAAAGCACAGCTTTTACTGTATCTGAAAGACTTTGCTGTGAATGTGCCTCAAGGTGAGGCTTGCACATGGAGCCACTTCTTGGGAGTTGATTTTTCCACATCCTAATTGCAGAACGCATTGTGATTAGAGTGCATCTATTTTTTTTTTCCCCCGCACCATGCAGCATGCAAAACTTCCCCAACCAGGCATTGAAGCCACACTCCCTGCACTGGAAACGCAGTCTTAACCACTGGACCACCGGGGAAGTCCCAGAATGCTGCTTTTTACATAGCACATAAATGCTCCCTGCAACATCAAGGCGTGGACTTGTCCAATCGTGATCTCTTAGGGAAGCACCAGCGTGATTCCTATTTTCAGTGTTTCACTCTTTAAGAAGGGGCTTCCCTGGTGGCTCATTGGTAAAGAATCCGCCTGCAATGCAGGAGATGTGGGTTTGATCCCTGGGTTGGGAAGATCCCCTGGAGGATGGCACGGCAACCCACTCTAGTATTCTTGCTTGGAAAATTCCATGGACAGAGGAGCTCGGCAGGATCAGTTCAAAGGGTCACAAAGAGTCGGACATGACGACTTAGTACACATGCGCGCACACACACTGTTTAAGGAACACGTGCTTATAAAAACAGATGAAAACTTTCAGCAAAGCACCTCTTGGGTCTGCCCTTCCTGGAGTCCTTGAGGCTTGATTAATATTTGCATTCGAAAGGGAAGGGCCTTCTTGGCAAACAGAGCACACACACCAGTCCTTAGGGTTGATTGCTTAGAACTCCTTCAGCTTAAACTTCCTCTGGAAACATTTCTTCCACTCCCAGCCTTGCGAACGCCCATCTTATTCAGAGTTTGGCCTGACACCCTTGTCTCTAGCTTTCTGTCAGCCGCGTATCCTGCAGCATCCTTGCATCAGAGTGAACTATTTCAGTGACTTGAGGAGGGGTTCAGTCATTGTCTGGGAAATCCCTGAAAAAGAGGTTTCTCGCGCTGGAGTGAATGGGTGTTGGTGTGTTGCCCAATACTGAGTGCTATAATGCAGGTTCTTCTTACTCATTCCTTTCCTTTGAAAGGGCATCGTGGTGCTGAGTCTTTACTTTGAGACAGCTCTTCAAAGTAAACAGACAGAAAACAAAATTCTCTAAAGCAGTTATCCTTCAATTAAACAATTAAAAACACAAAACCCACATGGAGCATAGACTTGAACTGCAGGTAGCCTTATGCCCCAGCCCATCCTGACCTGCCCATTTCTCTCCTTCTTGAATTTAGTGGGTCTGGTTTGCAGAATAGATTCTCAGGCGTTCGCCTTCGTTAGTTTCCGGCTGAAAGTTCTAGCTGGCTGCTGCTGTACACACAGAATTAGCACCATTACTTGGTCCCTGCATTCTCGTTAACGTTAAATTACACTTGCCTTAAATTTTTGAAAATTCTATTTCCTCACTGGTTATTGGATGTTAGTAATGTTTTCTCATGAGGTCTGCCACATTTCCTCACTGCAATAATTAGAATCATTACGATAGCAGTCATATCTGGGATTTATACTGCCTATTTACTTAAATTTTTATTTTTGTTTTCGTGTATATAGTCATGTTAAATAAAATAATATTCCGATAATTAACATAACCATAATAAGAATAATCTAACTGTAATTATCTCAGGCAGAATAACCATTTCAGCGTCTCAACAGAGATATGGAAAGATGTAAGCCCATATCCCTGGCTACCAGGCTGGCAGCCTAGTCTTACTTGTTTTTTGGAACTGTCTGGGCAATAAATAAATATTTTGAAAAAAACAGCTATTAAAGCATATGCAGATTCGATCCTCATGTTCCTTACCTGACAGGACCCTTTCGGAGCTTTTGGCTGTTGTCGAGAAAATATAGCAATTAAATCCCATTATGATAATAACTACAGAAGTGTAGGCCTTACAATGTGGCAGGACTCTTCTAATCCTGTTATTTATTTTAATTCACTTAATTAAACACAGATCTCCACATGTGGTGTGACTAGAAAGCCGGCCAGTCTCTAGCTAACGGTCTCCTCCTCAAAGCATCATTGCGTTCAGCACAGAGAGGCATGCGGCTGGGCTGCTTCTCCCAGGACCGTGCCCGTCCTTGCTGCCGCGGCCCGAGCCCACGCCAGCCCAGGATGTGGCCCCTCCCTCGCCCCTCCCCAGCCCCCTGCTGAGCCCGCAGGCACCCGAGGGCCTGGCTTGGGCCCGGGCAGCCCTTGCAACTAGAGTCTGGAGCCGCCTGCAGAAGCCCTCTTCCCGAGGCTGGGGCCCGGGCCTCGCCCACCGCGCCCGCTGGGCCCCCCAGGCCGCTCAGCGGCAAAGACTCTTTCTGCCGGTACGGGAGGCCCGGGGCCAATCCCCGGGTCGGGAAGGTCCCCCGGAGCAGGAGATGGCACCCCACTCCGGTACTCCGGCCTGAGAAACCCCATGGACAGAGGAGCCTGGTGGGCTACAGCCCATGGGGTCGCAGAGTCAGACACGACTGAGCGATTAAAGAGCAACAGTAACGGCGCCTGTCAGGTGATGCCCAGCTTCTTGCGTTAGAACACCGGTTGGGCTGATGCTTTTTAGCTGCTGGGGCTCTTAAGGCAGGGCTGGAAGGAGGGCAGGGAGACGGGGTCCCTCTGCCTCTACGTCATGCTGTCTGCCTGCTTAGGAAGCAGTGTGGGCAGGCCCAGGGTAGAGGAGAAGACAGAAAGTCAGGAGACTCGTATCTGTGCAAGTGTTTTCTTAAGCCTGCTGCATCTCTGACAGCCCTCTGGAATGTGGAAGGGGGGTTCTGGGGGCCCCGCATGGAGTGTGGACTCCTGGGTCAGATGGAACCTGAAGTTGGCCCTAGCACGGCTCGCCAGTACCTCTGTGGGCAGGGACAAGCTAACGAGTCCCTCAGAGTCTTCATCTATTTGTTCAATTCAAAACCGCTCCTGCCCTTGTAGAGCTCGAGGACGGTGAAACACAGTAAACGAAATAAACAAATAATGCTAGGTGCGAAGGCTGCGGTCTTCAATAAGGTGGTCAGAGAAGGCATCCCCGATAAGGTAACATCTGTGCCAACACCTGGGGGGTCGAGGGGGAGGGCACGTACTTCCTGTGTAGAGGGGCAGCCGTGCAGAGGCCCTGTGGCAGGGCACCAGTGTGTTGAGAGGGCAGCAGGGGGCCCAGCGTGGCTGCCGTAGAATGAGCCAGGGCACTGTGGCTGTGATCGGAGAGGAGAGAGGTGGGGCTCTGGTCCTGCGGGGCCCTGTAGACATCGCACAGACCTGGGCTTCTGGGCCATGTGGGAAGCCATGTTTGCGGATGGGGATGGGGGCTTGAAAATGTGGAAGAGTAACACGACCTGATTAAGGTTTCCTTACCTCAGCAGTTGTGATGAGGGATAGTTGCGGGGAGCGGAAGGGCTCAAACAGGAAGACCAGGCAAGAGGCTGTGCAGCCCACAGGTGAGACGGGATGGAGGCCTGGACCAGGATGTGGTCGGGGAATGAGGGGAAGTGGTCAGGTTGTGGATGTACTGAATAACATCTGCCTTCTGGAGCCGTTGCAGGGTTAAACGAGATGCACACAGCTGCTGCTGCATGCAGTGGGTCCTTGGGAAGGGCAGCTGCTGTTGTTGCTTCTTGTCTTGCAGGACAGTCCTGACAGACACACAACAGTCAGGTCAGGGGTTTTTCCATCTGGTCAGCCGTAGCAGTGCTGGGGCTGGAACTCAGAATTGCTGGCTTCAAACTGAATAGAATGCCTCCTGCCTCTCCCTGCAGATCTAAGTCGCTGAAACCAGGGGCAGTCCTCGATTAAATCACACAGGAAGGAATGCTGCTGTCATACCTGACATGGCGTGAGCTTCGACGGTGAAGCCCCTGGTGTCCACCTCCCGTGTGTTCACAGGCGGTGTGATGGCTGATCGACCTGTCACGTCTACTTGAGTTTGGCCTTTTCGCTGGGTTTTCCTGGGCATCCTCCACCCCCTGCAGGCAGTGGGCCTGACCCTCCTCCAGGACTCTGGTTCTCAGGCTGCCCTTCACCCATGCGCCCAACGTGCAGTTTCAGCACTTGTCACCCATCCTGAAGTTGAAAGATTGACCTTTGGAAAGTAAACGGAAGAGGGATAACTGCCTTCCCATTTTTTAATCATGTCAAAAGATACAGGATTTCCGTTATGAATAAGTAAGCATTTAGTGCAGGAAACGGAAACCACCCTAAGGACTTCACGCAGGAAGAGATGGGAATTAAGTGGTCCCGGACTTGCTGGAAGGGGCAGAGCCCCGAGGAGCCCTCTCCTGCACCCAGGGTGATTCCCAAAAGTTTGAAGAACGGGCCCAGCAGCACACTGCCAGCTCAGAAGATGTTAACTGGGACTGTGGGTTCAGGAACCCACTCCCGGCCTGGGTTTCGGGGAGCAGGCAGCCTGGATGGGGAGGGGCCTGCCACCACCACGGAGGATGGGTCTGGAATGCTGCTGCAGAGAACCTCCCATCTCCCCACCGTGCCTGCCAACCACTGCGGGCAGGGCAGGCCTCTACTTGGCCTCCTTGTTTCGCGCAGGTGCCTCCCACTGGATCGCAGCCCAAACTCGAACTGCAGGTGTGGGGTCTGCAAAGTGTGGTTTTCATTCTCTGCCCTCCAGCCAGGAGGAGGATGAGGTGAGGTCAGACACGCCGCCTCCGCGTCTCCGGTGACATCCCGCTTGCCGGCAGTGGGGATGGCGGGGGCCCTCCTTCCGGTTGTGTTAGCTTGGCCCGTGTTGAGAGCATACCACCCACAACATAAAACTTTACGTTAAACACCAAATGCAACTGTCAGTATTTTCCCAGCTTATCTCTCGTACAATGCCGTGTGCTTTGTAACAGAGGAGCTCATATCATCAGTTACATTGCGGTGACCCTCTGATGTCTGTAAAACAAAGTAGACCTGACAATCAGATTTCGGTTTATTTAAATTTGGAGAAAGTACCGAGCCTGGATTTCTGTTTATCACAAAATGCTTTTATGGTTCATGTCATTGCTTAAAAAGACTAGGCTAGTCACACTGTTTATCTAAAATGACATGATCAACATTTGGTATGAACAGCACTTTTAGCAGACTGTTTTCAGTATAAAAATATGCAGGAGTGAATGTCAGGTCCAAGTAAAGACGAACAAAAACACTAACTGACCAGTCCAAGTGCTCTGGAGCCCAGAAATAGCCATTTCTTGCAGCTTTGTGTCGAGTCTGTTTTGTAAAAGTTAATCAAATTTCTCTAACCATTACCTGACCGATCAGCAGAGAATTAAGCTGGCCTAATTAGTTTGGGAGCTAAATCAGACAGAATGAACATAAACCAGAGCCCAGAGAGGATAGATGGCTGCTGGTGACCTCATCTGAAGGATAGGTTACTTTTGCTACAATAGTAAGTCTGAGCAGTCATGGGGGCTGCCCCAGCAGTAAAGAATCTACCTGAAATGCAGGAGATGCAGGAGACATGAGTTCTATCCCTGGGTTGGGAAGATTCCCCCTGGAGTAGGGCATGGCAACGCACTCCAGTATTCTTGCCAGGGAAATCTCATGGACAGAGGAGCCTGGTGGGCCACAGTCCATGGGGTCACAAGAGTCAGACACGACTGATGTGACTGCACATGCGTGCATCGGTCATGGGGTTCCTAAAGAGTGCCTTGGATGATAGAACAGAAATTGGAAGATCGATGTCTCTCTGAAAATTGGAGGTTGGGGTAAAAAAAATCAGTAAAATGCCACATATATATCTAATGCTACTTTACACACCCAAACAGATAGTTAAATATAGAGGGGGCTTCCCTGGTGGTCCAGTGGTTAAGACTCTGTGCCGCTCTGGGGAGCGGCTTCAGTCCCCTGTTGTGAAAGTGGGATCCCACATGCCACGAGGTCAAAAAGTAAAATAAAGTCAATAATATTAAAAATATAAAATTAATAACATTTTAAAGATATCTGTTTCCAAAGCACACTGTATTCCTTGGCAACCCTTTTAAACCATTCTCTTCTGCCGTTCAGGAAACATTCTGCAGCTGCGTCGTGGACTGATCAGCCGCTGTTTTTTTCCTGTGCGGCCTGCACTTTCCCCTCCAACATTTGATTATGAAAATTGTCCTGTGTACAGCAAAGCTGAAAGAATTTTACAGTGAACATCTGTATAGCCACCACCTAAATCCCACCATCAATATTTTATTAAAATTGCTTTATTCCCTACAGTTATAGACACTTTACCGTCTACAGTCAGGTATTTATTGCTGCATAGCAAATTACCCCAAACTAAGGGCTCTTTTTGGCCAGTCCTCCTGGCCTGTGGGATTTAGTTTCCTGACCGGGGATTGAACCTATGCCCCCTGAAGTGGAAGCACAGAGTCTTAACCACTGGGTCACCAGGGAATTCCTGGAGCTTATTTAAAACAATAAGCACTCATTATCTCACTTAGTCCTCATGAGTCAGAAATTGGGGGATGGCTTCTCTGAGATGTTCTGGCTTGAGGTTCCCTAAGAAGCTGCAGTCTGGGCATTGGCCAGGGGTTACAGTCATCTGCAGCGTGACCGGTGCTGGACAGCTCACTTCCAAGAGGGCTCACTCACATCGCTGATGGCTTGAACCTTCAAAGGTGTCACAAGGCAGTTTCACTCGGGTGCTGTTCAGACTGGTGGTTGCCCGGGGCAGGGGATTAGGGGAGGGATCAAGTGGGAGATTGGGGTCAGCAGACATAAGCTTTTATATAGAGAATGGGCAAACAGTAAGGGCCTATTGTGTAACACAGCGAACTATGTTCAATATCCTGTAATAAACCCTAACGGAAAAGAATATAAAGGAATATATATGTATGTATGTATAACTGAATTACTTTGCTATCCAGCAGTAATTAATACAACATTGTAAATCAGCTATGCTTCAATTAAAAAAAAAATTGTATGTAACAATCAGAACTCTATAACCTAATATAAAGAGTTACACCCACAGGGAATTCCCTGATGGTCCAATGGTTAGGACCCCGCCCTCTCATTGCCGAGGGTGCAAGTTCAATCCCCGGTCAGGGAACTAAGATCCCATAAGCCACGCAGTGTAGCAAAAAAAAAAAAAAAGTTATAAACACAAATGTACACCTAAGCTTGTCATTAAAAATGTGAAAACATTTTATATGGAAGTTTTATACAAATTAAATATTTAGTATCTTTCCTTATTTATAAAAAATGGGTGCTGTTGACAGTAACTCAGAAATGATGGAGTGGGGCAGGAGGATTCAGGGAAGGCTTTGCCCTGAAGGTGAGACTTGCCTGGCGTGGCATTCCAGCCAGGCTGCTGGTAACACCAGTGCCGAGCGAGAACTTCAGGTGGAGTGGGTCGCAGGGTGAGACCCTGCTCCCAGACACGTCCAGCAGGGCAGGAGGGGTTCCGTGGGCTGGGTCACACTGGGGAAGGCAGCTTTAATGGCTCCTGACAGGAGGGGCCTCAGCTCCCCAGGCTGAAATCCCTAGACGTGGTCATTAATGTTTGACTATAGGAGCACCCAAGAACTTCTTTTCCTAGGTACACAGACATTTTTATTCACACACTCAGTGTATCCTTTGAGGTTGAAATATTGTGGATGGTTCTCTGCTCTTTAAAGCTTCTTTCTATTGAAAGCTTTTTTTTTTTTCCCCCCCTAGAAGCACATCTTCCTAAATTTTTTAAAAAATTATTTCTTTGGCTGTGCCAGTTCTTAGCTGCAGCATGGGATCGAGTTCCTTAACTAGGGATGGAACCCAGGCCCCCTGCATTGGGATCACAGAGTCGTAACCACTGGACCACCAGGGAAGCCCCCCTAATTTCTAAATGTACATTCCTGTTCCTGACCCCAGAACAGGGCCAGACTGGATAACAGAAACATCTCTGGGAATGCTTGGCTCCCTTAAACTAGGAGGATGATAGCTACTGCTCCCCTATCACAGGTGAAGCCCCCACCCAGGACACTGGTGGGGAGGCAAAGACGAGGCGGGTGGCTCCTGAGTGCTGTGGGGGGCGGTTTGTTGAGGATTTGGGGGCCCTCACCCAGCGGTGGAAGGAG